TCTCTGCACAGCCCAGTGTCTTGTTGTTGTTGCATGCTGTAGTGTTGTGTTGTGTTGTTTTCCCAGCTTTCCCATGACTTGTAATTAGAGGCGTGTGACGTGTGGGTGGCTGAGTAAAAAAAAAAAAAAAAAAAGGTGATGGCTAGGATGAGGCAGGGGTTGTCTTCTCTTCAACCCCCCCACACCAAGCACCCACCCACCCAGCTCCACCCCACCCGTGGTGTGTGTCTCCAGCCGAGGCCAAATTAAAAGCCTGTGCGACTCACATTCACATTCAATTAAAAGCTCCCCTCTGCGACCGCGCAGAAACAGCTGCAGAGACTCCATGCTGTCTGTTCTTTTCAGTTGTTCTCAAGAAGGTTGTGGCTCGTCTCCTGTCGGAGGTTTACACCCCCGACACACACACACACATTAGACACTGGGAGAGAACAGAAAAGATAACGCAAGCCGAAATCACATCCAAATGTTTACATGAGTGGCGGTGTCCCTGTTTCATCATTCCCTTATCACTCTGGCATAATAAGGCGCAATTACAGAAAAGATAGCGAGATGTGGACAACAAGGCAGCTAGAGAGGGAAGTGAGTAATAGCTTGTAAACAGATACTCTCCAGCCTTGTATTCTTTGATGGAAAAAGATGTGTGCCTCAAAGACCTGAATGAGCCCGTCCACAATTATGCCTTATTTGCTGATTTGAATGCTGGTCAGACTTTCCACATCAGAAGCTCTGATAAGACATCTCACTGTTATCATTACCCCGGCTTGAACTGCTGTTTGCACACTGCAAAATCGTTCATTGTAGTAGGCTGATGCATTTCTGAGTCTTCTGTGTTGTCAGAGAGAACACAAAGAAGAAATTGCTGTTGAAACCACCATCTGTCTGCTTATATACACAATGGAAATTCAGCTGGTGGTCCAGAACTTAAGAGTATAATGTACACAGCATGTTAAGATTTTGATTTGTCGGTGGGAAGCGTGCTCGCATTGTTAAACCGCCATCACTCAAAATGACACGCGAGAGTTAAACATCGCAAATGTCCTGAAACACATATTCATCAGCCGTAAACAGACACTCTTGCAGCCAAAGTTCAGGTAATACGTTTCACTTTGCACCGATTATGAGTCATGAGATTTTCTGCATGCATCAAGTCAGGTCTAGTGTTGGGTGGCCACGTCTCTCCTCCCTGCGTGGAGGTAGGGAGAAATGATAATGCAGTCAGTGATGGTACGCGCCGGCTGGCCGTGCAGCGTCTGATCCAGCCTAAATTTAAACCTGTGGACAGACGAGTCTAGCCAGCGGCCAGCCTCATTCCAGCCGCTGATCATCCCCAGCATGGAGAGAGAGAAACAGAGAGAGAGAGAGAGATCGAGCTCTCAGCCTTTTAAGCCTGTCCTCCTACCCTCATCCGTCCCTCCTCTGCTCTCCCTCACTCCCCTCATCTGTTTTCTCCCTCACTTCTTCTTTAAACTCCTGCTTTGAAATGATACTTGGTACTCATGTTTCCAAGCCTCCAGACTCGCCAGAAGTGGGTGTAAAACTGTATATATATATATTAGTACTGAGAGCATCGTTGAGATGAAGTATAGTGCTCCGGCAGGGATTCTTTATCTTCAGTCCTCTCACTTCTGTCTCTTAGATTTGAAAAGCTGTCATTTGCACTAATTATCCACATTATTTTCCTTAACCAAGTACATCTGGCCTGTCTCGGCTTCTGAAAACAAAAGTGATTAAATTGGTACAAAAGTTGTTTTCATTCGTTGTTACGAGTCCCTGGGAGGATGTTTCTTTGAAAAAAAATCCTCCGGAACACTGGAAGTGATGTTTTATAGATTCAGCTGGAATCGGTTGCTTTGTTTTGGAATACCAGTAAATAAAATTCGAAGGAACAGCATGTGATTGTTACCATGCCTGAAGAAAGACAAAGAAAGTCAGGACATGATCAAGTGGCTCAAAAAAGCACAACAAAGTGTGTGGTATTTTCCAAGTTATAGATTTAAATGATTGAGCTTGATTTTGATTGATTGTCATCAGACCCGCGCAGACAGAAATGTTGTACAGGACATACTTGTTTGGGGTTATGATAACAGTATAGTCTGTTGTTCTGGGAAAAAAGTTGGCTCACTCTCCCTGATGTGCTTGCACAGCCTTTCCTTATCTCCGCTCTGAATACTTTGGCTCCTCAAGTCATGGAATAGATGGGAGAGTTGAGACAGTCTCAATGGAAGTTTGGAATAAGTTCAAAAACACAGACAGATGTTCACAGAAACAGAACCGCTATTATACTGCATTTGTCTGCTTGGTTTTATTGGTGCGCTGAGGATCAGCCTGGTGTTTATGTGACAATGGGAAAAAAACCTGGCTGTACACACGCTCGTGTGAGCCTCATACCCTCAAATGCAGCAGATTTGAGCCCAGTCCCACATGGCTTATGCCTTCCAGGGCTGAGCTAAGCCAGTGGAGACGCATCAGCTGGGAGCTGATCGGACCTCCACGCCAGACGGATCAGAGACAGACAAGATATGTTTCCATTCTGGCTCTGTCCACCTTCCTTCCTTCCTTCCCTTCTTTCATCCCCATATTTCCACCCTGTCTGCTCTCTCTCCCTCTGTTGCACCATTCTTCTCCTCCCTGTAATCAGGGCTCTTTGAAGTGGGCCGAGAAGACGGATTAGAGTGGGACCTGCAGGGTCTTTGACCTGGGGTGAGCCGGGGACGAGTAATTAGACAGGGAATTAAGAGGAAGCCCAGCCCCTCTCTGTCTCTCTCATGAATTGTGTGCTCCTCTATCAGAGCCATGCTATTTGCCGAACTTTTATTTGAAATAGTTTTCCAGCAGCAGCATATTGTTGTGAGATGCAGTAATAGAAGCAATTGTGCTTTTTTTCCTATTTCTATTAACAAAACTCATGTACAGCAGGAAATATGATTTAAAAGTGACCACATGCAATTTCCATGTGGTTCCGATGCTGGTGACTGACACCAGGAATCCTTCTAAGGCCTGCTTTATACTCCTGCGTAGGATTGACGCAGAACCTACGCATGCGACCTCGGCTGCAGTGAGCTTTTATACTTTTGGGCTGCTGTGTTCGTGTCCCTCTGCAAGTCGCTCAGGGTTGGGTTTTTCTACGCCACTGTGTGTGTAGTGTTGAGAAGAGGATATATGACCATTAAAGAGTTTAAGGTAGAAGGAGGATGAGTTTTATGTGGCCACTGAGAAATAATCACAGTTGTTGCAGTCTGGGTTGGCGTGATGTTTCTATGAAGGTGCACGTCAGACTATGGCATACAGTAGAGCGCAGGGTACAGCATAGTTATACAAAACACTGTTGATTTTACAAAATATCAATATATGACAGGGACATTAAGTTTGCTAACCAATTTTGTATAGCAACTTTAAATGTATTTATTTTACTTCAGTAAGTATGCCGAATTCAGATGAAAGAAGCCATATTGTATGTCATTCAATATCTTCTACTGTTAGTGCAGTAAAGGTTCTAGTATCAGCATAAAATGTTGCAACAGTGGTAGTATAAGTATTAATAGAAACATTATCATTTAGCATTTGTATTATTATTGTGCCCTTCTCCTATAAAAATCTTGTGCCAGCAACTAATTATGACCCTTATTTACATTTTATTGTTGGTGGACCTCTAGTGGCTGGTGGTGTAGCACTTAATAACAAAAGTACAAGTAACTTGTAACATGTTACTTTAACACCAACTTTACTTAGGTGTATCTTGTACATTGGCCTGTGTTGTGTGTGTATGGGTTTATTAAAGATGAGGGTTAACTGTGGAGAGAGAGGAAGAATGCCCAGGCACTGTGTTATTAAACAGAGGCTGTTTCGAGGAGCGCCCACATGGCCAAATATGGACATCCAGTCACCCTCTGTGTCTTTGTGAGGGAGAGAAGAATGAAGCCAAACCAACAGGGAGACAAATGACATGAAAACTCTGTGCTCGAGAAATACATTTAACATTCTGCGTCTGTCTTTTTCTCTTTTTGTGTCTGCAGGTAAGAAAGATTTCCAGTCCTTAAAAAGCCTTTTTTGATCGAGAATGTAAGTAGTGTCACAATTTCAGTTTTTCAATCCTTCTGTCCTTTATGATATCTCCCATCTAAGTGTGTGTGTGTGTGTGTACATGTGTGATATCCCCAGGGTACCTGTTGTTGTGACAGGCTCTTGAGCGGTGTTAGAAGATAGCGTGTAAATTGTAATCTGGGAGCTCCCATTACTCAGCCTGTGTCATGCTAATAATGCTGCACGTCAGTCAGACCTGGCCGCTCATTACAGACACACAGCCCCAGCTATCGCTCCTCCTTTTCCATTGTGCCGATGCCACAAAAGGAGCCATTTACTGGTGGCGGTTTAGTGCCAGGAGGAGAGTATTGGCTGTGCATTAATAGAGACTTAACCTGTATTGACTTACTCATTTGCATAATCCTTAAACTAGTGCCAAAGAGTAACTTTCAGTGGGAGAGCATGTGATTAGACCAAGTTAATAGCATAGAGGTAAACAGATGAGGGACACTGGCTGTAATCTATACTAAAGGGCCGTGAGCTGAGGCCCAAAGATGGAAGAGAAATGCAAAAGAGAGCAACTGGATCTTCACATTGTCGAGATTCGACTGAGAAGTTCAGGAATGAAGAAATCCTTTTGTCTTTTCTGTAGCAACGATTCTACTGTTTCCCCAAGCTACCTTCTGCTGTCTAGAAATGTCATTCTTCAATTTAACCTCTACTTTTTTAAGTCATTCTGGATAAAAGTGTCAGCTGTCAATGTCTAAAATGTGAAAGGAACACTGTCTGTATCTGTGAAGGAGACAGGAAGCTCTAGAAGGTTTATAGAAGTAGAAAGACCACTGAGAATCTCAGCAAAATCAACACATCCCCTTACTACCTTCCAACACACACACACACACACACACACACACACCTTTGCACACTTCCCCTGTAGAGACTCATAACTCTTGCTTACATAACCCACCTGCCTTTCTCAGACCTCAACCACATCCTGGGAGCAACAGGGAGCAGAGGAGGGGTGGACGACAAGGGGCCGTTAAAGATAAGAGTGTTTATGCTGACATTGTGGGGGAAGTTGTAGACATCCTTATCACGAACAATGAACAGAGACAACAACGGAATGAGCCAAATACAAAGAATAAAAAGACTGATTGTCAAAAAGCTTTATGCACTATGTCAAGCTTCTCCTTAGTTCTGTTTATTGTCGTCTTACACCACTACAGGCCAGAAGCCTTTTCTATGTTGGCAAATAAAGTGTTTGACGCAGGAATGACGTAGTGGTGTTCAGAGACAGAACGGTAAATCCTGGTGGTTCCGTCTGTGCACAACCACAGGAGCAGCAGCGGAAATTACTGCAAGCATGCTAATGGCAATGAACTCTCACTGTGAAGAACCCTTTTAAGACTTGACATTTTGACCCTTGATCTCACCACATTTCAAATCCAGGGACATTGGTACGTGACCAAATCCAATGCCCGTATTGCCTGCGATGAATGACATCATCACTGCTTTGCCCATTAGGGTCGCCTCTCTTGAGGAGAAACAGCTGCGTCACCCAGAGATCACGTTGAGGGTGTATTTCGGTTATCCTCGGTTAATTAGACCATTTGAACTGGGTTCTCTAGAGGACCGGCCAACCCGACCATTGGGATGGGGGGGGCAGAGCATGTTGTGCAGTCTCACATTCAAAGTCACTTCCTCTCCAAACCTTCATCCACTTTGGCCAGACCACACATCCTAAATGCTGATAGTTTTGCTGGCTTGCTTGCATGTTCTCCCTTACACACAACCACGCAGTCATGACCTCAGATAGGGATCACATTCATCCCTGCTTGGCTGCTAACTAACCCCAATTGCATTGAGGGTTTACAACCGAGCTGAGCTTGAGGTACCCCTCAGTATTTATAAACAGTTATGATCGCATTTGGTAAATGATCTGAAATTAGTATTTTTCTGGAGGGTCAACAAAAACACGGTTGTCAAGTTGACTGGATTTGAACAGCATATTCCAAACTCCTGCTGTTAATGCGGTTTTATGTTGGCCGGGCTGCCAGTAAGAATCCACAGTGTATGGGTTGAGCAGGAGGTTACAAAGAGCTGCAGCAGTCATGATAAAACCTTCTGTGGGCAGCTGGTAAAGAGCACAGCCTGGCCCTTCGAGGACTGATAAATCCAGGCTTGTTTTGGACTGTTGTTAGCACAGAATAGCGAGGTCATGGTAGGATCACCTCACCATGATCTTGTTACGAAAGTCATGTATTCTTTAATCAGGTTGCACCTTGTGAGGGGGCATGTATTGGATCTGCTACAGCTACATGTAGATAGAAACAGATGGGTGAATTCATTTTTAGATAACTAGAGAAAAAAATCTCAGAGGCAGTTTTTGAAATTCTTTCTCCAAAATATCTAGACATCTACAATGAATTCTCAAGGGGCCCGGATCAGATTTGAAAAAATGAATTATTGTCTTTCTAATTGGTGAGGGCAAAAGTACCCATGATAGGGAGGGGGTCGGGGCTCCATGCTGCTCAGAAGCCGGGAGGCAATGCTGGGGGGAGGAATGCACTGTTATCAGACGAAGAGCGAGAGGTACGGGCAGTGATGGAAGAGGGAGGGTTGATGTGCCATGCAGACAGAAGTGATAATGAGCCTTATCTTACTGTTCCACATCCCCCTCTCCCCAACACCTTCACACTATCACTGCCATCTGCCTCGATTGTGCTTCACAGTCCCAGTGACTAACTGGCTGCCAGTCCCTCTTCTCTCCTCTGGGTCGCTGTGAATAAGCATGTGTTCTCTCTCTCTCTCTCTGTCTTTCTGTATTGTTTTTCTTTCTCAGTTTTTACTTCCATTATTCCATTTCCCTCCAAATTCCCTCAATCAGCCTCGAAGTCAAGTGAAGATGCCAAGGGGGTGGGGGGGGGGCTTGCTGATCAGCTGATGACGTGCGCGAGGGGTCGAAAGAACAGGGATTACAGCTCTGGCCCATGATGAGCTAGCAACTCCAGCTCATCAGGGCGATTATGGCAGCGCTTTGGCATCTGTAGATCTGGGTTGGGTTGAGTTGGAGGGCATCAATGTGAAGTGACGGCAAGTTGTAAGTGGCTGGGAACATACTGACAGATCTGGCACAAATGCCACTTTACCCTTCAAAATCTGTTAAAGCCGGCTTCAAGAGTCAGCGAAGCGTCATTGTTGAAGTCTTTTGGAAATGAATACAGGCTCGCTGACATTTATCTGGGAGACGATCATTTGAAAATGAGCCAGGCAGTTGTAACTAAGCGATCCAGGGTTTAACAAGAGTGCCAACACATTGAGCTGTGTGGCTTGCCTTTAATTTAACCCCACTGGACTGGAGCACAGCTGGAGGAAGCCTTGTTCGCTGGATACAAATCCTCTGTTGCGACAATGTGCAAACCCCCCCATTGTCAGAGCCACTCACACACTAGGGTACATTCCTCTCACCCAGGGCAGGGATTGGCTGAAGAATCCCTCACCCTATTTGAAACCCTCCATCTAGCAACTGAACCGAGATTTGATTTAAGTGGGAGTTGCTCAGAGGGTAAAAATGTGTTAGTGTTGTGTGTTTTTATGAAGACCAGATGTACTTGGGAAATGGATGAACAGATTCAAACACACTGAAGATCTTTTCCTGTTTTCATTGGTGTTTATAATTTTCAGGTATTGGGATTTTTGTTAAACAAGTAAGAATAAAGATGTGTTTGTATTCCTGCAATAAGGCTTGGCTTGAATGTTAAAATGCCATTAGAGACTCACACAAGATGGTTTGAAAGAAGCATGGTTAAAATTGAAGCAGACTTTTATTCCCTGTTCACATCTTGTAAATACAATATAGCTGTTTTCAGACATGACCTACGGGTACAATCCGGAGAATTGGCTACAGGGTTTACACAGAGTTTTCCTTTCACACATGCACAACACAGCATGAGGTTTTCTGGCATTCACAACAGTGACAAATCTTCAGCAGTATTCAGACGAGAAGATCCAGGTGCAGCAGGCAGAGACGGAAAGTCGCGTATTAACTCTGCTGTGGAGATCACATGATAGTCATGTGTCTTGTCTACATGTCATGAGAGCACTTTTTCCCCGGGAGATATTTATTCTGGGAAGTCAGGCAGATAAAGTTTGTAGGAAACTGTGGAGCCTCTCACTCTGACATTTGTGTTCACACATGCACCTCCTCAGGAGAAAATAAGGAGGACCTGCAGGGTCCAGTGCATGTCTGAAAGCAGCTTGTAACCTTCACAGACCCAGTTCTGAACACAGTATTTTCTATATTTCATCCTTTACACACCTCTTATTTCTGTATTCAACAACGTTTAATCCAATTCACCCCATAGTACACGAAAATGTAAGAATTCCCCAGTTTCCTTAGGTCATATGGTTTGATCTTGTCAGTTCCTTGCTATTTTTTTAACTTCTGTTTTAAATTCAGGCAGCAAGACGGTATCCTCTAAAAGCAATTTTTGGAGCAGTCAAGGCTGAGAAAGGGCAACACACCTCCATAAAAACGCAGTCGAATTTGCATTACTGCCTTAGACTGCTGATATGCTGATATAGCTGGAAGGGCGCAGCTCCACCTCATCCGACATTGACTCAGTGCGTCAAGGAGGTGATGCTCCTGTTAAATTTGGAAAAGTTTGGTACTGTGTACATGGATCAGAACAAAGAGAAAACTTCTGTTTGGTGTAAACCGTTTTGGTATTGTCAAGACTGCTGACAGGTACATTCGCTGTTAAAAAGAAGCACATGTAGCTCTGACTGTGAATGTGATTATGAGTAACAGAATTAAAAATGTTGTCATTTACTTACTTAGTTCTGCAACTCTATAGATATGATCAATTATTATTATTTCATTACCATTTATTGTTGTGAAGTCTGTTTTGTTGTTTTCACTATGTATCTTTGACAAAAGATATGAACTTTATTTGATTTTGTTTGATTTAATTAGTTCATTTCTGTGCATCTATGTTACAAAGATGTGTGACAAATAAACTGGTCTCGACGGAAACGTTGCCCCTTAGAAAATTCCAGTCTGAGTTGGTATGGCAACATTACCGTAACTGCAGTGGGCAACTAATCACAGAATGAAATTGTGCTCAAAAGAATCAGGCTCTAAATGGTATTTGAGAAAATGAAAATCTGGAGAGTGATAAGTTAAACAAACAGATGTTCAGAGTGTTGTGTGTTTCTTGTTAGGAGATGATTGTGTCCAGTGAGATGTTCTCACAAGGACAGAAATACAATCATCTCTCTGTGTCTGTGGGCTGCACTGTATGTTTTGGCATGCCCGTGTGGCTCAGTGTGTGTATATGTGTGCTGTGCAATCCACAGGCTGCTTGTTAGTACAATGTCAAACATGTCCATCAGTGACATCCCTTGCTGCTCTGTAGGCGAGCCCCCCCGCAGCTCTGACGCACATTTCACCTCTCTCTCCCCGTGTTTACCTCCTCACCCCCCATTTCTTTGTCTCTGTGCTCTGGGCTTCTTCTTCTCAATTAGCTGCCGAGTTTCCCATCTTCTTACTCCCCCCATTGGCCCACATCCTTGCAGTAACAGCAAGTAAAACTTGATTATAAAGCATCCCTGCGTCTCACAGAGCCTTCACACTTTTTTACTTGCTAATTTAATGTGTGCATGCATCTGGAGTGTTTTTCCTGACCTTCTTTTTCTGTCACCTTTGCTCTGCTTTGCTGACAAATAAAAACAAAAGTAGCTCAACACAGGTTTATATCACAAGCCTGAGCACTTTCTTTTCAGCAGACACCGTAACTGGAACTCAATCAAGAGAGAAAAGTGGAGAACAAGACCTCCCTTGTCACCTTTGGCTTCTGTCGAGGCTTTGGCTCCAATGTGAGAAATGAAATTCCCTTAGTGGGTGCAAGGGCAGTAGGACTGTGTACAGTTGAGTGACATGAGGGAGAGTGGGAGACACAGAGGACCCAAGGTCGGATGGGTCTAATCCCGATCCTCCTTATCAGTGCCGACCTCCGGGAGGCTGTGTGTGCATCTTGGCATCCAGGGGTGCCTCCTTTTGAGGGGGAAGTGCCCCGTGTGATCGGAGTTCAAAGAACGCCAGGGGAGTGGCAACTGTCCTTTCTTTCATTACCAGGAGCTTTGCGCTTATCTGCAAAGGCACACCTGACGACCCTCTCCTCCCTGAATCCCACAAAACGCCCCGCCTTTGCCCTCCGCCAGAGGGGCTAAATGCTGCGTAATCTCGGTATAAAGGAGACTTCATCCTTGAAAGGCCAGCTGTGCATCCTCCACACCTCTAACTGAAGCCTGAATAAATTCCTGAGCTCGTTAATTTGTTAATCAGAGCCGGGTTACAGGGAATGATCAGTGGATGAGTCAGAGATGTTGTTGGTCGGAGGTGGAGTTTCTATCTCTCACCATTGCATGGGGGCATATGGGACCGATCACATTGAGTCACAGATTATTAAAACAGACAGACACGCAAACAAAAGCCTGCCATTGTTTATACAGTATATACCCATTTGCAAACATGAACTCCAGAAATCGTCCATACATTTGCCTTTCACATATGAAGAACGCAGCAGGAGATAGTCCAGGTCAAACATGTTCGAAACAGGCAGAACATTCAGGTGGGGAAGGACATGACGTATCGTTTCTGCTTAGAAAAGCCCAAGTTTTTGTTTATAGCACATCAACATCATTCTTTTGAGTTTTGCATCTGTCACGTATTAGAAATGTCAATAACATGTCCTCTGTGAATTTTCATGACATTTTCCTGCTGTATTCTCACATGGGCTCCCATGGACACTTTCTGTACATTTTACTAGGCGGCTGGTAGGATAAGCTCTTGTCTGGAGCAACTGACACGGGTATTCATGTTCTCAAATACAGTCCCTTCAGCAATTTCAGTGCATCTCTGAGAGCAGCTTATATGCTAAAGAAATAGTTGAATGAACGTCAGATCAGCAATATTCTTGAAATATTTTTGTTGTTTTTTTTTCTTCAACTTGTGTCCCAGTCTTTTAAAACACTTATGAACACATAAAAGCACTCTTGTACGATTCACACAGAAGTTGTAACTTGTTAGTCAAAGTTAAAGAGTAACCACTAATCGACAGCTGTTGAAGAGTCTTCAAAGATTATAGCCCTCTGAGTGGTTTGCGAGCCGTGAAGATGAAAAAAAAAAGTCAGGTGTTAATTGCCCAGCACTGTGGGGTTTGTTCAGGACCCTTATTATATGAAGGACAAACAGAAATAACCACAACGACACAAGTGCAAAAGTCTGCGTACTTTTATAGCACTAGCCGCCAAAAGTGAAAAGTTTGGTTTCCTTCAAGGAATCATTTCTTTCTCTCACGCTAGGTCATGGGTATAAGAGCAAGAGGAAAATCTTGGATGTGATGCTTTTTTTTTTTTCTTACTGCAAGTCCATTGTAACAGGAAAATTAATTTTCACTGACTTCATTTTCAACACTCTGGCTCTCAGAAGCATGAGAGCTGATTTGCTAAGGGCCTCTGGAACGGAGTATGTAAGAAGTGTTTGGCTTTAGTGAGCAGTGCTGGTGTGAACTGCACCGCCTGACCTGGGCCGATTCTCTGTGTAATTCTCTCCCTGGGAATCTGTGATAGATAAAGATTGATGTGAGGGTTGGAACCATGGCCCCCTGCTCCAGCCCCAATGCCCCCTCTTTCCCTCCTTCCCCTCCACCTCATACACTTCTTCTCCTCCCTTTCTCATGACCGGCCAGTGTTACAGCAGCTCCTCGGCCTCACCACCAGAATAAGCTGTTTACATTGGGCAACTTTCCTCTGGCTCCTGTGGCCAGCTTCTGGTACCCCAGCAAGCCTAGCCGGAGCAAGCCACAAAGTCACCGAAACTTGCCCCCAGCATGCCTCAGTGCCGACCGGGCCCAGCTCAACCCCCAACTGACCTCCACCGTCACTTCTGCTCCGCCCGAAACCCCCACAGACCTTCATCTGTCATGTTCTACACACAACCCCTCTTTTTCCCTCCTCTTTATAGTGGCAGCTCGCGGTAGCTTGGATTCCCAGCCCAGCTGAGGGAAATCCATCTCATTTGTTGTAGTGTAAAATAGGCGGGTCTCATCGCCGACACTTCTCCCACACGCTGTTCTCCTCTGCCTCTTCTGTGCCTGAGGGTGGAAGCAGAATGAAAGAGCTCCCTCCCCGTGCCACCGCCTCGTACAGCCGAGGTATGATTGTTTACACACAGGCAGCTAGGGAGTGCTGTTTAGAGGGTACCCTTCTACTCAAGCTGATGATGTGTTGCGTAGGGTGGGGTCAAGGAGCTGGGGAGCCCTCCCCCATGCCATTTACCGGCCCTCGGACCCAGGTGCTTCCTGTCTGCCTGCTGGAAAAGTACAAATGTGCCCATGATGGGCCTGGTCAACTGTAAGCCTTGTGCTGCCCGGTGAGACGAGCAAAAGACTTTAGAAATCCAGGAACTTACTTTTCCACCTCCCGCACTCTCTGCTCTTCTCTTGGTCGTTTTTATAAAAGAGCTAAAATTGTCCCCAACATCTGCAGAGACAGGTACAGGTTAATCTGGGAGCTTTTCCTCCGCTTAGTGTTTGTTTCTCCCCCTCCTCAGGTGTGGCCTGTAACTCTGGCATAACAAGTAGGTTTTATACTTGAGTTATGATTTAGTCTGACAGTGTGTTGTGCTGTGTTAGCTGTATTTTTTTCATTGTTCTGCAAAAGATCCCTGGAGTTGTACTATAGTTATAATTCCAAGACAAAGGAATATTCCTGGCAGATATTTTTTTAAAGGGATTTATGAGTTTCAGTGCCAGCTGTGGCAGTTCCATAAAGTATTTATATGCTCCCTAAAATATGAATTTGATATGTAACTGGAGCTGTTGTCTGACATGCAGGACGATCTGCTTGAGCTACAGGCTGGGGTTTGTGTCTCTGGATCGAGGCTCAGTCCTGTGAAGATCACTCTTTGACTGCTGTCCAGTTGGCCTTGCCCTAGTCTGCAAACACCCAACACTGGAGGGAGGGAGTGACCCCTGGTGGCCACAGTCCTTACTTACAATTTCAAAGCCATTTCACTCTTGCAAGCAGCTTGTCGGGAAAGATAAGTCCTAGTAAAAGGAGCATGTCACTTTCAGTTGTTGTGAATTTCCAGTTTGAAGGCTCTCCACCGCAGTTACACTCTACTCTTACACTCTTAGTAGCTGCCTCACCTCTCCCCACCTGTCATGCTTATGTTTTATGTCTGACACAAAAGCATTTAACCAACAAGCGCCTGATTTACGACTTGTCTGAAAGGTGTAATTTAAGGTTTCTGGTGGAAGCTCACAAAAGCTTTGCTGTCAAACCATGACGAGCCAGTGCTTCAATCATTTGTCCTTGCTTTCCCTCCGTCTCACCCATTGGTGCTGGCCTTTGTGCCTACAGGGAAGCGAAGAGATGACAAAATACATTAACAACACCTCTTCTTTATCCCCCTCCCTCTGTTCCGTAGCATGACTCATCAGATGAGCCTGTGTTGAGCGGACCAAGTGAACGATGGTAATAACGGACAGCCCTGACAGGCATGAGAGTACATTAGTTGCTCGTAAAAGGAGCTGATGGCACTTGCTAGCGTGCTGTTCCCCCATTGTCAGATATTTCATTGGCCTCCCCCTGAGGGTATCTGCTTGGCGATGGGTGTAGTTAAGGTGATGTTTATTTCCAGGTACGGCAGTCTGCCCCGTCTGACGCCAGGAGTCTGCATCTGCTGATAAGGCAGAGACTGGCTGGAAACTCAAGGTTAATACCTACAGTCTGCGAGACGTTTGCTTTTGCTTTAGGGTAAAGTTGTGCAACAGAAACTCTGCTCTCATTCGTCCAGTGCAACAGAAAAGTAAATTACTGTATATCCCTTCAGCCTTGTGAACTAGTAAATGGTCGAGACTGCAGCAATGAGTAAATCATAAAAGTAATAAATTATTTTTGAAATATTAAAGAAAACCTTTGTTCTTCTCTCTTAAATGACCATATATTCTTGTTGTTTTTATTCGAGAATAAAAGTGTCAGAAGTTTTTCTTTTTCCTGTCGGCGCTGCATAAAGCAGCCATTCTTAACTGTCTAAAAACAGCACTTTAAGGTCAGAGGGGTCATACCCAGCATGACCCTGAGAGTCATCCCACGCCTCGGTGTGAGCAGTGACCTGAGCAGTGACCATCCAAGGTCAGTCACAGTCCACGTTTGTCCCCCGTCCCTCCTCTCTGCCACTCACCAACAGTAACACAGTGCAGGACTTCGACCCCTGCTGCACCGCCGAGCTGCAGACAGTTCTTGTGCCGTCTTTTTGAGCGAGCGAGCCGGTGAATAATTACAGCTGCGTCGGGGCAGCGAGCTGACCCACTTTCAAGTTGGCCTGCATACCTTAAGTTTTATAGACGTATATGTGACATACTGCAGGAAACACTGACGTTTTAAGACTTTAATTTTCCACTTGAATGAGTTGAGGGATTTTTATTTGGTCCTGCGCCGGGTCTAGATGTGCAGATAGAGGCAGGGGAGAGAGAGACGCTCCTGGAGCCAGCTGTGGAAACACAGTGATAGGGAGCGAGCCAGTGTGGAAGTGTAGGGGGATTTGATGTGCAGGGGATCTGCGCAGCTCTGCTAAGATGGAAGTTTTCATTTCCTCCGGATAGCTGTGGCTGTTTGAACAGGTGGGCCATTCTTCAAACCCCCCACCCCTCTCACCCCCTCAGGGCTGTAAACGCTTCAGCCCCTCTCATGTTGTCCAGTTTGTGCTCTCTCTTTCTCTCTCCCTCTCCTGGGCGTCACATTTTTTCAGTCGCAGCACAGCGGAGCCTCTGGAGCAGGGAAGCAGCCGGGGTACAGGTCTTTGTTCCCAGCTCTCCCTGACAGACCCACCTCTAATGCTTTTCCAGCCACCCTCCTGTCATTGCTGTTATTACCGCTCTGAGCAGCTGGGCTAAGAGACGTGGAGAATGCTTGTTAAAGGGGGAAAGTGAGCATCTGAACGCTCTGATTACAGGCGGGGGGGAGAACTGTGTGTCTTGCTCCATGTTTTGCATGTTTTCCCCCCAGAGGCATGAATGCACTGAGACTGAGTCATGCTAGACTGGAGCCACGGTCCTGGCTCCCCCACACTCCTTTCCCTTCGTTTTCCTCTTCCCTCTCCTCCCACTGCCGACATAACCAGCTGGGCTCTTGAAACATCCAAACACACACACACACACACACACACACACACACACACACACACACACACACACACAAACTTGTTGGAGAGGTACTTGATGGAAGGACATGAGGGAGGGAGGAGTGATGAAATGCCAAAAGCAGTGAGGGCGGGCGGTGCGAGGCCCACATTGAGATTGATGTGCTGCTGTAGAATCTAGCAGGTAAACACCACCCCCACCACCACGACCACCACCCCCACACACACACAGGACAGCTCTCTGAGATTATGTCTTCTTGAAGCTGTTTCCACAAATTCTGCCACACGCCCCCTCTTACTCCCTCACCTCTCGTCTGTCTACCTGTTTGTTTTTTCACTTCCCCTCTTCTTTCTCCTCTCTTCCTCACTGGACATACAGTACGTGAAATCCAGTACATGTCGAACATGAAAGCAAAAACACGCAAAGCTTTGAGCATTTTGAGGACTACTCAGCAAGGTGTTCACCCCCCATACCTTTCTCACTACTGCCAGTAGGTGGCGATATGACTCTTCAGTAGCTCACTCAGGAGCTCTCTTAAATCAGTGGCCTCCTTGTCTTGTCCTCATTTCATCCCACTTCCCCACAGCAAAACAATCCTCACTGCTTTGTGTGATGTTTGAGAAAGAGAAAAACGTGGATGTCTCAGAAATGTTCTCGACTGCAGGACTGTCTGGCTGTAATGAGATCGATGAATATGCATCTCACTGTGGAGCAAATACAGGACAATCCCCTGAGCTCTGTTGGAAGCATGTGAGGGCAAAAGACGTTTTCCTTGTTTGTCAGAGAGACACAAAGGAGACGCTCTCCAAATCTGACAACAAATGACCAGTTAGTTCCCTCATACTGTGCATATTCCACTCAATAAAAAATATGTTATTAACACATAGACTGTTTTAGATTTTGTTTTGCTCAAAATCCTCATATCTCAGTGCAATATTCCATCTTCATCACAGATCAATACACTCAACACATCTTCACCTATTAGAGGATCATAAAAGATTTTAAAAGTAAACCAGGTACCTGTTGTGTTCACTCAGATGGGGTCTGAAAAATGTGTATGCCACTTCTCACGCTAAATTTGGTATCTATAGAACAAACTTGTCGAGAGAATGTGTGCTGATCCTGCTAAAGCTTACAAATATTCTGAGATGGGAAATTGGTGTCTGGGATGGGAGGATGGGAGGTGGCGAATGAGTAAAAAGCAGTGTAGTTTATACCTGTTTGACACAACTCTTCCATTAGAACCCTCAATTGTATAAGATGTAAGTCAATTTAAAGCAAATTATGCTCACATACCAAAAAATAGCAGAGTTGCAGAACCGTCCAACAGAGAACCAGGATATATCTCCAAACAGCAAATACCTTTTTAGTCAGGTTCACAGAGCACTGACCGTATAGAAACCTACGCATATCTTTAGAATTAAGGCCCTATGTGTTTGATTGTACCTGATCTCAAACCTCTTAAATATTATATTTGAAGTGTCGCAGCTTTCTGAGGGTTGTTTAGTCTGAACTGCAAGAAGGCTGTAGCCTGACGTTTCTCTGTGACGGGTTCCCTCATTATGTGTGTTTTACATGGGCAAGCTATATGTTGTTGTCGTCTCCCATTGAGTGGTGGAATATGGATGAGTGTGCATACCAGAAAGTGTGTGTGCGATCTCAGTGTTGTACAATATGTATTGGTAGAGGACAGAAGCTTGGGGCAGATTTGTGATGTAATCGTGAGTTAATCTCTGCCCTTGTTGCTTGTGGATCAGCCCCTCAGGCCAGTCAATGCAGACATGCATGTAAACCCCATCCCCACGACAAACACACACACACACAGACACACACACACACGCTCCATATATCTGCAGCTCTGCCATCCTTCTGCCTCCCCAACTCCCATTTGAACCACTAATCTCATTACTAAAGTGAGCGCACCGAGAGAGAACAAAAGCTCCAGTTCACCTGAACCCTCGTACTCATTACACATCAAGAGCAGCATTACAGCCGGTCGGATGGAGTAAATCACGTTCTCGGCCCAGAGGGTTGCGTGACATGACTGTGTGTAGCTGAGCTGGTTGTACAGCCACTGGAGCACGGGAGCCCGTTGATGCAGGCTGGTTTTTACTGACTGGCCAATGAGCATCAATTTAATGGAAAACATGAAAAACATAATTTGATTTCTTGGCACATTGGCTGATATTTCAGCATGCAAATTCTTTCCTTGCTAATTGTAAAAGATTATCTCAGATTATTTCCCGGTTGACCTCAGAGGTCAACTGCACAATGGCACAATGTTCAATTATGGAGCATTTCAATGGAAACTCTCCAAAGCTCTTTTTAATTTTGTAAGATTCCGATGGTGACTGAGGGGGACAGATAACCTAAAGAGAGAAATCTTCTAACTGTGGGACCCCCCCCCCTCAAAGAGAGCCCTCAACAGTTTTGG